CAGATTCCTAAGAAAATAAATGGAAATGTTTTTGTTCTTGATTACAATAAACATACTGTAGACAGCTGTAAACATTCGTTTCTTATAAATCAGCCTTTGATAAGAAAATGATTTAAATACACCATTGCTTGTGTACTGCAAACACATACCAACTTCATCACTGTGTCTGTCAGGAGACTGTTCCCCTTTCAGGCTCTGTTTTTACATTTATTTTGAAAGATGAAGCTCGCGATTATGGTAAGGGGCGTTACATTTCCGACGAGTGCTTGCGGTGTTCGGCCAATCACAATGCACTGGGTCAGCTGGCCAATCAGAGCAGACTGCGCTTGTCGGAAGGAGGGACTTTGTAGAAAAGGAAGCGTTTGAGAGAGGCGGGGCGTAGGGGACCTACAATAATGTACAGTATTTGAAAAATAATGTGTTTTTTGAACATTAAAGCATGTCAACATATTCTGTTACACCAAATACACAAAATAATGATCTTTAAAAAAAAGCATCATATGACCCCTTTAAACAAATATTTTTCAAATTAGCTACATCGATTAACAGTCATAAAATCTGTGTATTATTCAGTTCTGGTGTTCACTGTTGAGATCACTTTAATGAATGAAAGCGATGTTGCATGTGGACCTACCATGACAGATCATCATCAGTGGTATATTCTGTGGATTTTGTTTTCAGAAATATTTGAGCCTGGATTAATCACATTCAGGGTCTTCAATACTGAAAAGGCAGCTATGGCTCTTTGTTCAGGCGTTAAACCAACTGGTTGTCACACAGAGCATGTGAGTTAAAAAATAATCTAACCATTTATAAACTGAAATTGTGGCATACTGTTAATCACCACAGGCAATACTTCATGCTTCGTTGTAAAAATGAAGAGCAGGGGTGCAAAACATACGTAACGCACCAGTCTGATCATTCCATGCAGCCCAAAATCCAAGTCACAGAAATGTAATGGCAAAAATTATATATATATACACACACACACACTGCCCAAAACTCGCGTTTGAATCATCAGTGGCAACGAAAAACACAGCGGCCTAACGTGAGGGGAAGCCCCGGCTTAGCGTGCTCTGAGGCCGGGATAGAGTGAGCTGAGGCGGGCTGGACTCTGCTTCGTCCACAGTGAAAGTTGATGTATTTCCTCAGCGACCAGCACAGATCAGCTCCAGGCATGACGAAGCAGATATCGTCCTCTTTAGGAAGACCAAACAAAGTAGTTTTGCTTTCACAACCAAGCATACAGCGTCTTCAGGACATGGAGGCAGCAACAATACTACTGTGAGAATAAAAATTACGCCTTCTTTCTTTGCGTGAACATTTGGGTGGCGTTATGCAAGTCTTCCCCCATCGTGACGTAGATGTGGGGGCATGTTAGAACGAGCCGTTTTAGGTAGGCCTGGTTGACTCTTAACTTTTATAAAGAATATCTCTTTGGATTTGAGACTTTAGTTTTTGCAACTTTACAGATCTTCTTTATGCACCAAGAGCTTGTAACACTTCAAAGAGAAAGGGCAAATTAAAATTGCATCCACCACACAGAAAGAGTGCCCTTCCTACTTGGAAGAGGCACGCTGCGGAGTCACCTCCTCCCAGAGGGGGTTGAGTGACATTTACTCATGTGGAGTAAACCAAAAGGGTCCTATTGCACATGGAATTCTCTGAGATGGCTCAGGCTGCATCATCTCGAGACAGCAGAGCATAGCCTGCCAGGGGAAACACGGCCCTCATAACTGTACCGTGGAAATACACATATGGGATCCCGATAGGGTCACTCATATGGGCACTAGCCTCACACCAGATTTCAGGAATTCATTGGATGAAAGGCCTGGCATTGTATGCTCCGCCACGTCCGGCCACCGGAGTGCTGGAGGACTCAACAGGGTTTTGTCTGGTTAGGGAACTCTCTGGAGAACTAGGCATTATGGACACCGCAAGCCGACTCTGACCAAGGCTTCTCAGTGCCACTACCCGTTTGAGGTGAGAACACAGGAGGAAACCGTTTCGACACGTAGGCTATAGAACCTATCGAACGTGTTAGGAGTAACCCAGTGCGCAGCTCTACAAATATCTGCTAGCGAGGCACCACGAGCCAGCGCCCAGGACGATGCGACACCCCTAGTGGAGTGAGTATGCAGCCTGAGTGGGCAGGGCACACCTTGTGCCTCACAGGCCAAGGTGATGGCATCCACTATCCAGTGGACCATCCTCTGCTTGGAGACAGCTTTCCCCTTCTGCTGTCCTCTGTAACAGACAAAGAGCTGCTCTGAGGTCCTAAAGCTCTGAGTTCTAACCACGTACTATTGCAGTGCGCGTACAGGACAGAGCAAAGCTAGGGCTGGGTCTGTCTCCTCCAGGGGCAGCGCTTGCAGGTTGACCACCTGGTCCCTGAAGGGAGTGGTAGGAACCTTGGGCATGTAGCCAGGCCGGGGTCTCAGTGTTGCACTGGAGTCAGCCGGCCCAAACTCAAGGCACGATTCATCAACCGAAAATGCCTGCAGGTCCCCCACCCTCTTGATCGAGGCCAATGCAGTCAGGAGTAGGGTTTTCATGGAGAGAATCTTCAACTCGACTGACTCCAAATGCTCAAAGGGAGCAGTTTGTCACCAATGCTAAATCCCAAGAGGGCAGGGAGAGGGGCTTAGGAGGATTTAAACTTCTGGCCCCCCTAAGGAACCTGGCGACCAGATTGTGCGAGTATGAGCCAGTTGTCGAGATAGTTGAGAATATGAACACCCTGTTCTCTCAACATTTTGAACAGCAGCTTGTGAAGCGCGTGATTCAAAACTCGCAGGTCCAAGATTGGTTGTAACCCACCGCTCCTCTTGGGCACGATGAAGTAAAGGCTGTAAAACCCCGTCCTCATATAGGCTGGAGGGAGCAGCTCTATCGCGCCCTTTGCAGGACTGCAATTTCCGCACGCAAGAGAGGGGCATCGACAGCTTTTACTGATGTGAACCGGATGCCCCTGAACTTGGGGGGACGCCGGGTAAATTGAATCACGTAGCCGAGTCTGATGGTCCGCGGGAGCCACCAAGCCTACGCCCGACTCCATGACGCTGCCTGGTGGGAGGCTGCTGCTGCTGCATGGGAGCGGGAGCGGGGGGGCGGGCGCAGGGGGTCGTCCTCGGCGATGAGCAGGCTGAGGGGCTGCGGCCGGAGTGGAAGCAGCAGGTTTCCTCCGGTGCATGATGTGCTTGATCGCCTCAGTCTGCTTCTGTGCCACCAAGAACTGCTGGGCAAAGCTCTCGTTGCCGAAAAGGCCGGTCTGTGATACAGGAGCATTCAGGAATTGCACCTTATCATGCTCCTTCATATCGGCCGGACACAGCCAGAGATGGCATTCCGGGACCACCAAGGTGGACATCGCACGACCCAGAGACAGTCGCAGTACGCAGTTCATGTAGAACCACCAGGTCATGACCACCCTCGTGTAGGTCCCTCAGAGCTTTGGCCTGATGAACCTGCAATAACACCATGGTGTGAAGGGCAGAGGCCGCCTCCCCACAAGCTCTGTAAGCACTGCCAGTTAGACCTGGCAAATACTTACAGGCCCGCGAGGGGAGACACGGGTCACCCCGCAGAGTGGTAGCGGCCGTGGGACACAATTGCATGGCCACAGACTGAGGGAATTCCCGTGTACCCCAAAGCGGCCCTGCCATCGAGGGTGGTGAGGGAGGAGCTGCACAATTTGTTTCTGACAGTAAAAGGTGCCTTCTACGATCTTGTGAGCTCCTCATGCACTTCCAGGAAGAATGGCAATGGAGAGGGGCGCTGAGAACCAGCGCAACCCCCACCGGCGAACCACTCATCCAGCCTTGAAGGACCGGGACGCGGTGGAGGATTCCACATGAGCCCGACATTCTCGGCAGCCCAGGAAAGCATAGCCGTCATCTCTGGGTCTGACTCGGGAAAAGCCACTCTCCCCGAAGGGAGCAACGCAGCCGAGTCGTCATCCCCGGAGAGAGAGAGCTCGCACTCCGAAGCAGCGATCGACATCTGGTCGTCAGGGGGAGCACCGAAGGATACGAGCGGTACACTCTGTTCTGTAGAGGGCCCAGCGTGCACCCATGGCAGCTCCACCGGCTGTGGAGCGCTTGAGGGGTGAGGAAATTCCTCTGGAGAAGCCCTCACCATGATCCTCAAATCACCTCTGACTCCACCGGATGCAGCGACTTCCCAGGTGCCAGGACGAACGCTGAATCGTGGCAGAGGCCGAGGGACTCCGCCACGTTTGACGTAGCGGAGTCTTTTATTCAACTCCGAGATGGTCATGTCCCCACACAGAGAACATGCACCATCCATGAAAGCTTACTTAGCGTGCTTAATGCCCAGACATGTAAGGCAGCGATCGTGACCATCCTGAGGAGCCAGGTAATGACCACATCCAGAAATGCACGGGTGATAAGACATCTTTAAAAAGACCCAATCACCCGTGTTGCTCTTTTAAGGATTGCTCTTTTAGTGCTGAAGCACGCAGGGGAGCTGGCCACCGCACACTCTTGGTGTGGCTGTCTGCATGCCGGATAATTCCGGTGAGACCGTGACCACCGCTGTTGTCTGCCGTAATGCCTGCACTCGCTTTGCAATCACTCAAAGAGAAAAGAGCAGTTGTGATGCACCACCACTTGGCTCCGAAGCGAAAAGATGAATGAATGCTGTGCACCTGCTGCCTCTTATACCTGCGCTGCGGGTGTGGCAGCCAAATTTGAATTCCGCATACCAATGTCCATTGGCTCGTTTAGTATATTATATATTATGCATACATATATACATATATATTGTACACTCTAAGTGAGTTGGTCTCTCTGGCGAGATTCCCATTCGTCGGTCCCGACGTGATGTCGAGAGTGACCGACTGAAAGGAAACTAATGTTATATGAAGAAATGCATATGTTTTGTTGGTAACATACTTGTATTGTTTCAGTTCTGTATTGGTGGAGGTGGACACTTTCCTGAAGCTGCTCCTAAACAGTTTGGGAACTTTACGGGTTTCAATGAGAGTGGCTATGGTACTAGAGACTGGATTGCTTCCAGAGAGACAACTGAAGCAGCTGTGCTTCTCTTTTATCGCTGACAGTCTAATCATTCTAAAATGTTCTCTTTGCGATATATCATATTGTTTAACACCTGAATGTTACATTTAAATTATGGTATATTTTGTGTGAGCCCATTTGTTATAAATATCGAAAATATAAAAGGTGTGAATTATAGACCTTATGCACCCGAGAAACAAGTGTGCAGCCATCTTTAGATTTTGTCTTTGAACTTCTGTTGCTGAGATCTTGATAAATTTAATGTGTTTTATTTTCATTTGTTTTTATCTTTGGCTTTGGCTGTAAGTTGTGTTTCTCTGGTCTTGTTTCTCTTTCCTTCAGTGATTCTGCTTGTTAACAGCAGGTGTTCATCACTAATGCTCAATCCTCTTTTAATTAGTCACTTAATTATCTCATTAACTTCATCACTGCTTCACTCTGTAGTGTGGACACATACAAGTGCTCTTTATAACTGAGGATTTTGCTGTGGGATTAAAGGGGTTAAATGTATGTGATCAAAAAAACACACTGTGAAATGTATTTTTAACAGAAATATACTGTTAATTTAATTTACGGATGCAAACTGTAAAAAACAGTAGATTACTGGCAACCACAGCTGCTGGTATTTCACGTAAAATCGAGAAAAAAAACAGCAAAATACTGTAAAACCTAACAGTCAACTTCCTGTTGTGTTTTGTGGGTTACCATTGTGCTGGAGAGTAGAGCCTGTGTTTAAGTCAAGGATGGACAGAAAAGCACTGATGTTATGCTTCTTGTTGCTTTACTGATGTTACTGATGCAGTGCAAATCTCTTTGATAATTTCAATCATACATGAATGTGTGTTCCTGTTATCTGCAAGAGATTTGAGTTGAATTGATGCTTTTAATGACTTTGCATAAATCAGTAGGTTTTTCTTCATGGACTTAAGCAAAATAATTCTCAGGACCAATATGCTCGCATTACATAAACATTATAAATATTAGTTTATAAACACATGCCAATTGGCCAATAAGTGCAGTCGGTTTCTGCAAATAAAATGAGTTAACTCAAAGGTTTGCATATTAACATTGTATCAGTTAATGAAATACGGGTTTTCCCTGTAAATTTAAACAGTTCTGTAAAACCTAAAATGTTCCTACCGTATTTTTCACGGTAAAGTTCTGGCAACTACAGCTGCCGGTATTTTATCTGTATGGTCCCAATGCAAGAGGTGCGGCAATACATCTTGAGCCAGTATTTTTCAAATATCTTTAAAGAAAATAGCTAAATCGATTGACAGTCATAAAATCTTTGTATTATTCAGTGATGCTATCATTTAAGCCATCATCACTTTTGTAATCTGATTACTTTACTGTTGTATGTGAATCTAAAATGACAGATCATCATCAATGATATATTTTGATTTTTTTTGTTAGAAATATTTGAGCCTGGATTCATCACATTCAGGGTCTTCAATTACGAAAAGGCAGCTATGGCTATTTGTTCAGGCGTTAAACCAACCGGTTGTCACACCGAGCATGTGAGTTAAAAATAATATGGATTATTTTTAACAACATTAATGAAAATAATTTGTGACATAATAATTTAGACAATATTTCATGGATCAGTGTAAAAAAGAAAAGTGAATTTACAGTAATACACTTATAACAGTAATAAATCTACAGCACTAATGCTATTTGAAGAAATGCATGTTGTGTTGCTAGTAATGTACTCATGTTCTTGCAGTTCTGCATTGGTGGAGGTGGACACTTTCCTGAATCAGATAGACAGTGTGGGGACTTTACAAGTTTCGACTGGAATGGATATGGTACTAATACAGAATGGAGTGCTTCCAAAGAGATAACTGAGGCAGCTGTACTTCTCTTTTATCGCTGACACTCTGATGAGTCTAAAAATCTTCTCATTGAGATACATTACACTGAATAACACCTGAATGTTATATGCACTATTACTTTCACAAATGTATTTCATCACAATATATATCCTTTATCCTTTATCAGTCTGAACTCTAAGAATGCATTTGCGTTCTTTGTTTGGTGTTTGTCACTGATGAAAAAAATAACCTGTCAGATTAGCCATTTATTGAGCCATTTATATCTAACATACTTTAAACATACTTTCAATGTTCATGCGTTTCCTTTTACAATTGTTCAAAAGTGGAGCAAATGTATAATGTTTCAATAAAACAGTGGACTGCCAATACTTATCAACAAGTTGTAGTCTACAAGTTACTTTGACAATATTTTATGAATACATTTGTGAAGATTTGCTCATATAATTTAAGCATTTAAGAGCTAGCATTCCTTGTCATTTATAAACACTCATTCTTTTTCCAAATTCTTTATTTAGATATTTATTTTATATTCTTGGAAAGGTATATTTACACATATGATAAAGCATTGGAAAATAGGGCTCCCTGACTACAATACATCTGCAAATGATAAGGATGTTTCATAGCATTGTAAACACTCAACATCATTTGATGTTAGGGAACATTTGAAAAATATTCTAAATAATTGAAAAGAATTAACCATCATCAATCTGGATGACATACTGTACAGTAAGCATACCCTTTCTCAAAGGCTACTTGTTGAGGTGCGAAGCATATTTGAGGATGTGCTGCTCAATCATGGAAGTTTAACTGGGGCTGATGTCTCACTAGAGATGCATTACAATGCCACAATCCTCATGAAAGCAAACAACTGAAATCCGTGTAACAAAGATAACCTGTATATTTACAAAATTCAAGTTTGTATCACTACAATATAAAAAGTGCATCAATATAAAAAAAAGTCAAATAGTAAATGTCCACCTCTATTGTTATTCGAGACTGAAGAATGAGCATATAGAAAAACATAAAATGCTGATGTATAATTATTTAGAGTATTAGAGGAGAATTACGAGAATAATTCTTTACTAAATTGTAGTAAAGTCCACAACAGTTCGTTTTCTATTCAATAAATTATGGCCACTGCAAAAAAACAGCTACATACTCCAGTGCCTAATATTACATTACATATAATAATGACAGGCGTTACAATAAAATGAGCTAACTTTTGCACTTTTTTCCCTCCAAAATATCCCTTTTTTCCAGATGTCCAAAAAGAAGCACCAGAAAACATGGCTGTTTTATAGAGTTTCAGCCCTTTGAGGTTTCTCTTGTATATTTGCAGAGTCAGACATTGGAATTGACCAAGGATCAAATGCAAATGACTGCATTTCCAAAGACCCTGGGAAAAAAGCTTTCTTTTTGAATGCATCTTCTAAGTGTCTTGTCAGAAGACTGTCCTCAGCATGCCGATCTGAGGGTTTTGATCTGGAGTGAGAAGTGAGATGGAGACCCATCTGCAGGGTCGGCTCAGTAAGCAGTGCAGGCATGGTGAGCGTCATTGCAGTGTTTTTCATGGTTGAACAACAGGTCGTCCAGTGCACAGAGCAAATCCCTCTCCTTTCTTCATTGCCTCATGTCCTGTTTTTCTCTCTTTCTCCCTTTCTCTCTGTTTCAGAGACGTCTAATGTTGCTGTTGGTTGGTCCCTGAGATGTAGGCCTGTCTGAACCCTCATGAGCAGCCTGCGTTATCGCTCTTCCATCATCTTGCCATTAGCCTCATTCTCAGTCTCCTCACGCCTTTTCTGCCTTTGGAAAAACCCCAACTATTGGAGTGAAAAAAGAAAAAAAAAAACTAATAATCAAGATTTACTATGTCCATTCTTATATCCAGCCATGCATGCATCTGTGCATGCTTAAAAAAATAAGGACACATTACCTTCCAAAGTGCCAAAATGAGAAGTGAGAGGAGTAACAGGCCTCCAAGTGTGCTGCCAATGACAATCCAGATGGGAACACGGTAATCCTCCTCTTTCCTGATCTCTAGGATTATCTGAAAAAACACACATACAAAAGAAAAATATAACAAGCTATACTGCTTTATCAGAGATCTTCGTATAGCTGCTTGTGGTATTAATGTTGGGTTCCTCAGAGCTCTTTTCTCTGTTCTTGGTACTGGTTTTCTGTTCTAAACAAGTTGTCACATTTCATGTTTCATCTGCTGAATCGGCATCTGCTTATTTTCTGTCCTGCCTACAGATGGCAGCACCACACAGCAATACAGAAGATAACAGAACTGAACTGTGCTGCGGGTCCTTTCGGTCCCCTTGGCTCCAGGTTCTTTTCTTTTACTGTGGTGAAACAACACACACAGTAGCTCACCAGAAGACACACTGATGTGTAAAGGGAGGTTCTGGCATGAGAAAACCAGTGCACCTGATTGTATGAAGTCATATTGTTCTTAACTCTTTCTGACAGATGAATGAAAACACATCAATTCTCAATGTTTTAGTCTCTCAAAATTGCCAAGGATGGAAAAGACAACAGCAACTTCTCATACTAACCACATCTTCACAAATTCAGTCATGGATTTATTTTTACCTAGTCTAAACATGTTGTCCAGCAATGTTTCTGTAACGTGGCTTTCTGTAAATGCTGATGTGTAGAGGGTGACTCACATGTCTGACCGGCCTCTCTTCAGGCAGAAACATGGGGCTGGATGGGTTCAGTTCCACTGAGGCTGTCGTCACCAGCTCGAGGGTTTTGAACTTCAGCTGCTCGTGGCAAGAAAAAACAATTTTCAGTTTCTCTGACAGATGATTACTTCAGTGGATGTGAGAAAGTTGGAGAGAGCAAGCACTAAAAGTGAGAAGCTAGAGAAGTGGTAGAAAAAGCCACACTTGTAGCAAAATGTCTGACCTTAGATACAAAATATCAAACCAAGTGGACACTGCAAACAAATGATGCTTCACTCAAATTAAAATGTAAATTCACTTGGTAACATTTTAATTTGACAGTCCACTTCAGACATTTTACTATCTATAAGTGGCTTTGCAACTACATACTAACTACCAGTCATAGACTGTCGGATGTAGAATATTAATAGACTGACTTTTTGATGGTTACTTGCACCATCAATCTGTAAGCAACTATATATAAGTGATTGTAAGTAACTTTTTTAATACGTCAACTGATTCTACTAACCCTAACCTAACAGTCTACTAATACTCTAATGAGTTAGTTGACACACTGCAAAAAATGCTTTTCTTACTTAGTTTTTTGTCTTGTTTTCAGCCAAAATATTCTTAAATCAAGAAGGATTTTCTAGACAATACAAATTATTGTCTTGTTTTCAGAAAAAAACAAGTCAAAATTAAGTGTGTTTTTGCTTAGAACAAGCAAGTTTGACTTAAAAAGTCAAAGCAGGGGGCATTTATTTTTAAAGGTTTTACTTGTCTAGAAAATCCTTCTTAGATTTAAGAATTTTTTTTATATTTTGGCTGAAAACAAGACAAAAAAACTAAGGAAGTAAAGCATTTTTTGCAGTGCATGTATAGTAGTTGCAAAGTTACTTATAGTTATAGATGTCTAAAGTGGACTATCAAAATAATGTGTAACCCCTTCTCATTTTGAGCCATATTAACTAACTATTAAATATTTGACGACCACAAATTATACAAATACTATTTCTTACTTTCAAACAATATATCTATTGTCTAAGCAAAACTTGTTCTTGTGAAATGTTTTAATCTGTTTTTTTCCCCCTTTAAAAATAAATGCCACCTGCTTTGACTTTTTACTGCAGGCATTTAACATTTTGGGTGTGGATTAAGTGTCGAAATTACTTTCTGGTGTCACTGTAAATTCAAAGCATGTGCTTTTTTTTTGTTTGTTTTTGAGCAAGAGAAAAAAGGAATGAAAAAAAGTACAGAATGTAAACAAAACCGGATTATAGTATGTCTACAGTCATGGATTTATTTTTACCTAGTCTAAACATGTTGTCCAGCAATGTTTCTGTAACGTGGCTTTCTGTAAATGCTGATGTGTAGAGGGTGACTCACATGTCTGACCGGCCTCTCTTCAGGCAGAAACATGGGGCTGGATGGGTTCAGTTCCACTGAGGCTGTCGTCACCAGCTCGAGGGTTTTGAACTTCAGCTGCCCGTGGCAAGAAAAAACAATTTTCAGTTTCTCTGACAGATGATTACTTCAGTGGATGTGAGAAAGTTGGAGAGAGCAAGCACTAAAAGTGAGAAGCTAGAGAAGTGGTAGAAAAAGCCACACTTGTAGCAAAATGTCTGACCTTAGATACAAAATATCAAACCAAGTGGACACTGCAAACAAATGATGCTTCACTCAAATTAAAATGTAAATTCACTTGGTAACATTTTAATTTGACAGTCCACTTCAGACATTTTACTATCTATAAGTGGCTTTGCAACTACATACTAACTACCAGTCATAGACTGTCGGATGTAGAATATTAATAGACTGACTTTTTGATGGTTACTTGCACCATCAATCTGTAAGCAACTATATATAAGTGATTGTAAGTAACTTTTTTAATACGTCAACTGATTCTACTAACCCTAACCTAACAGTCTACTAATACTCTAATGAGTTAGTTGACACACTGCAAAAAATGCTTTTCTTACTTAGTTTTTTGTCTTGTTTTCAGCCAAAATATTCTTAAATCAAGAAGGATTTTCTAGACAATACAAATTATTGTCTTGTTTTCAGAAAAAAACAAGTCAAAATTAAGTGTGTTTTTGCTTAGAACAAGCAAGTTTGACTTAAAAAGTCAAAGCAGGGGGCATTTATTTTTAAAGGTTTTACTTGTCTAGAAAATCCTTCTTAGATTTAAGAATTTTTTTTATATTTTGGCTGAAAACAAGACAAAAAAACTAAGGAAGTAAAGCATTTTTTGCAGTGCATGTATAGTAGTTGCAAAGTTACTTATAGTTATAGATGTCTAAAGTGGACTATCAAAATAATGTGTAACCCCTTCTCATTTTGAGCCATATTAACTAACTATTAAATATTTGACGACCACAAATTATACAAATACTATTTCTTACTTTCAAACAATATATCTATTGTCTAAGCAAAACTTGTTCTTGTGAAATGTTTTAATCTGTTTTTTTCCCCCTTTAAAAATAAATGCCACCTGCTTTGACTTTTTACTGCAGGCATTTAACATTTTGGGTGTGGATTAAGTGTC